TGGGATCTCTGATCCCTCGATCAAACTATTAGCTCTGTTAGCACATGTGCAACCTTCAGCTCTCCAGTCGTTAATGTGGGTGGTGACTTGCACAAAGCCACTGATAATTCTCTGTTGGAAATAACTCTTCTCATACGTCACAGCATCACACCTATCCAGAGTGGAGCGGTCTGAGAGCCTTAGAGTCTGCTTGCCGTTCTAGGGTTAGTGAATATCCTACGGCTTTGTCATCCTTATTTCCAATAAGGCCCTCTTTTGTGCCCAAAGACTGCGCATTTGGTGGGGCAGGATTAATTGTTGGTGATTATGTTTGTTGGTTTATTTTTACAGGTAGGTTTTTTTTACATTTTTTCTGTCTACTCTAAAACCTTACAAAAGATTAAAGTAGGATTTAATGACCAGTACTTGTCAATTTACTATTTTATGTAGACACAGTGAAACTATAGTGAAACACAACAGGTTTGCTTAAACTGTTAAAAAGTAAGATATATTAGATTGCTTTGTCATAACACCTTTTTTTACCTTGATTACTATACATTACCTGAACTCAGAACATTTCTGGAGTTAAAAGCCAGTGTTTCTGGCAAGGTAACTACACCATACAGAACACATAAAACCCCGTGACCCTCTCCAATCTAATTTAGGTATCTTCAATTGCCATTGAAATGCAGTGTCTACTTTGAATGAAAAATGAAGAACAAATGTATCTTTAAAATGAAGTGGATCAGGATGGATATGAGTAACAGTACTCAATGTACCAGTCATGAGGAGCAGAGAATATTCACGTGGTTTGTCTTTATACATTTAACTTTAAATATTGAGATAAGGAATTTCACCTCAGCCCCTTTTCAGTCATGGAAATAGAGCACACCTGTGCTCTCAGTGGCCCTCCAGAGTAGCCCAACTTAATTTTAATTATACAGTTGTACAGGAAGATGCTTTTTGTATATAGAGAAGCCTCATAATTTAGGCTAAAGTTCAATGCTAATTAATCTAAATACACACATCTGTTCAATCCACTGGTTGGTACTGTGATATTGATTTTGTAATGTGAGGCAGGGCAGAGGAGGAGTGAGTTATGATTGCGATTTTTTGTGTGCAAATCAACAAACTTGGCTAGACATGTAAGGCCATGTAGAAAAGAGTGTGGTAAGAATTCAGAAGTTCGGTTTGAAGCTTTCAATGTCAAAATTCAAATACATATGTCTTCATGAAATAGCTGAATTGTATCTACAGCCAAGAAGGAGCTTATTTAGGTAAGATACATGAAGATACTATCACTATATTGCTAGAGTTGCATTGTCTTTGAGAAGTATTTATTGTTACTCTCTTAGGTATTCTGGGGAATGTTCATAGAAATTACCTGGAGAGCAGACGGAATATAACATGAAAGCATTTGAAACTAAAAGGTTAGTTAGTATGCCTGTAATACTGATCAATTTTTCCTCTAATTGAAAAATCTGAGGCCTTACAAGTTATTTTCTAAACAAATAGATATACGAACTTTTTGATTTTTCCACTTCAAAATAGTAATATTGCTGAAGGAATATGCTGATCCTTAGATTCATTTGTTTAAAATTAGAAAATAGATTCTTACATTAAGTATAAACTGTGCAACTGCATACATTATACAAAGGCAATGATGAGACTGCCTGTGAGCACTGAGAGTGCTTCCTCTGGGGTTAGCTTTCCAAGACCAAACTGAAGAGAATAATTTGCTTTCCTGAAAATGAATAGGGAATGGCCAGATCAGTGAAGTCACATCTCCAAACAGAAGAACTGTCAGTTTGACACGTAGATTTCTAAATGGGGAAAATTGCACAATTTCTTCAGAAATATGCAAACACGTCTTCATTTAAATAGCAATCTTTCACTTTCAGTAGTCTGTCACATAAAAGCAAAGTATGCAAAAATATTTCAAGATTTTGGAATTTCAGTTTTTTAAAAAAATATTTCCCCAATTTCAAAACATCACCAGAGTGAAAAAATGACATGAAATCTAAACTGGTTATTTCCCCATATCATTATCATCTTGATCCTCAGATGAAGATTCATGGTAGTTCCATTGTATTCTGCAGTTATACAACTTCACACGAGCTGAAAATTTAATTCAGTATTTTAAATTTAAAATGTCTCTAGAATTTTAAAATGGGTCTGTAGTTGTGTAGTTCTTTGAACTTCTTGTCATAAAAATAATGTTATTAGAACATTGGCTACTATTTCTCTCTAGACCTTCCAACTGTCTCAAACACTTGTAATTACTACTACTAATACATAAGGTATGATGTATTAACATAGTGCATAATATAAACATATAGGGGAAAATACTAAAAAAAAATGTTTAAATCAAAATACTGAGAATTTTAGTAAAAGAGAGAATATAAACATATAGGGGAAAATACTAAAAAAAATGTTTAAATCAAAACACTGAGAATTTTAGTAAAAGAGATAGGTCTATTTACCTATGAGTGAACAGATGGATATTAAACGGAGCAGTTAAAAACTAATTGTGCTAAGCACTCGTAGCCTTCCACTACTTTGATCTGTTTCATAAATGTTCTAGATTAAGGGATGTGTGATGTACAAATGCTGTGTAATGAGTATTTTGTTTAGTTTAGGTCAAAGTCCAGTCTGACATAACACAAATTCTGTGCAGAAAGATTTTATTATATTTTCTTTAGTGGATAGTTTGGGCAGAAATCCAAACTGGGTCAGTAAAAAGCCAATACCAGCCATGCTTGGGTTTGGTTTTCCCTGTTTTTCTGTAATTTGTGTTGAGGCTATAATCTCTCTGTGAAGCTTAAAAAGGCCCTTTTGGGCTGCAAGAATTCCCCTGGCTTGGGCACTCAGAGCTTTTAGAAACTAGAACAGAATGCTGTAAACAAAAGAGCACTAAGACAAATTGCCCCTGTTCTGTTTTCTGTCCCTGGGTCTTTCACCGGGCTGAGCAGCTGTTGACATGTGGCATGTGAGGACAGGAGGCCTCTGAAAGGGAGCAGGAGAGCCCAGTGAGGGGTTTTGAGGAGGCACAAGAGGGACCCCAGGGCCTGTCTGTGCCTCCTGTCCTCCTGATGGAGATGTATGACCCTTCTCTGAGCTGGTTGCACTGTACATTGCATACAGAGCTGGTTTTTAGTATAATCCCAAGTTTTAATGTTGCTGGAAGGGTTCCTTGCTTCCCTTGGTGTCCCACATGCTGTTAGTGGTGGAAGGAGCCAGAGGAGGAAACACAGCAGAGCTGAGCCAGGCATGGACACCAAGGAGTGAAGTGCTACAGGGCCGAGATGGGGGGAGGATAAGACAGCAGGCTGGGCAGGGGGATGGTCCTGTACTGAGGTCTGGAGAAGAGGAAGAGGATGAGGAAAATGCTGGGATGCAGCAAGGTAAGGTGGGAATCCCAATTCAGTCACAAGACCACAGCCACCTCCACAGTTACACAGTTCAGTGTGAGTCTAAGGCAACATCTCAACCTCCTACTCCTGGAGAAGCTTTGTCAACATTTGTCACCCCTGTGACGACCCCTAGCATGCCCCAAAGACCCCATTTACTGCACCAAGACTGTTCAGACTTGGCTAGCCCCTCACCAGTTCATTCTTGGAATCTTCTTTTCTGCCACTGCAAAGCTGAATGTTGCTTTTTACCCCTGAGTCCATAAGAGTAATTTTGACCTAGCCTTATTTCGAAAGTTTTGAACTTTCCCAATATGCTAGGTTTCTTTAGTTTCTATAACATCAGGTGTACTGCTACAAGTACACCTAGAAGCAAGGTTAGAGTTAACTCACACATCTCTAGCTGTTTGCTGGCTTTGTCTTGCTGGAAAGAACCTAGACTGTAAATCGTTGTCATCTGCAAGGGCATTCCTGTTGCACAGAGTAAATAGATTCATAAGAGAGGCTTTCATGTGCAGATGTTTGACTAAGATCAATCCTGCAGTGAAACTGCAGCTCCAGAATTACTTCAGCCAAGTCAATTTAGTTTTGCCACAGCCCTATTTACTTACATGTTTTGACATAAACACTTGGTGTAACAATTTTGACAGATAAACTGCCAGGAAACTGATAATATACAATAATAATTTTTTACTGGCTTAGCTCCTAGAGTTGACTCACCATAGATCAGAACATGGTACCACCATACATTTAAAATATTTTGGTACTGCACTAGAGGCACAAATAATGTAAATGATTACAAGAGGAACAATTGTAGTCCTTCCTTCCAGCCAAAGAGTAAAAGAAAAAAGAACAAAACATTGTTCTGTAATACCCTCTGTCTCTTTCCTGGCTAGACAGATTAACTAATCTGAGTCATATAATCAGAAAAATAATGATCTCTTCCAATTGTTTTACTTTCTCTAATTACTCAATTATCCCAATTGTTTTTAGTGACTATCCAGTGTCACTTTTAGAAACAATGAGTGATAAATGGAGAGTTTAACTGTTTCCTTTTAGTGTAATAACAAAAATAATTAGTATAATAACAAAAAATTTTTGAACAGAAAACTATGCCTTCCTTTGACAGTAACTTTAATTGATAATAACTTCTACCTGTTTTCTTGTTGATATGAAGAACAAGAAACAGCTGCTGCTAACCTGAAATAAGCTGCCTGCAGAAGAGGTGACTCTTTTAAGTCACAGATGCACTTATGATGCCAGATAGTGCTTGAAAATTAAAGCTAGACAATCTAGAGATCAGTAAAAAGATGCAATTTTTCAACAGCCACTGCAAAGCAGTTACTTAAAAATTACTTAAATTAAATATTACTATGGGTTTTTGTAATGTCTGAGATTATTCCAAATGGCAAAATATCTTTGTGATGCAGATGCTATTATTCAGACACTTCCTTAAGCTGCAAGTTTAAAACCTCTAGGACTGCTTCCTTCACAGAAATGGCTTTAGAGACACCTCTCATGTAAATTAATCTCAGATAAATGAAAAAGGAAAAAAAAACCAAAAAAACACCTGATCATGCATCTTTGCATCTTCTTTATGCAGCTAATGAAAACTGTGTTGTTTGGGCAAAGGTGCCATTTACAAATAACAAGGCTTCACAGTTTATGGGCAAATCACTCAAAATGTTGTAGAAAGGCAGATTGTAAAAACAGCTTATGTGGTTGAAAGCTTCATGACAAATACTGAGATCTTGGAAATGTAATTTAGTAGGTAGTCTATTTTAATCAGGAAGACTAGAGGTGAAAGTCTCTTTTAATCAGGAAAGACTAGTCCTGAGCTAAGATGGCTCAACAAGTTAGTGAATTAGGGTTGTAATGCCCTATGGCATCCCAGCTTTTCCTGTGGTAAAGTCCATTAAGCTATAGGCTCTCATCAGTATCTCTTTTTCCTCAGAGTTTCACTCTTCTCTAAGTGGGGGTCATTTGTTCAGTCTTGGGCAGCCTGAATCCCACCAACCACGAGGAAGGACAAGTCATTGGAAATCTTTTCTTTGCACCATCCTTAAGAGAGAGCTTAAGGCCTGATTATGCTTTGCTGCCTTCTTTCTGCTCATTTTTCCTCTACACTTTGGGAAATGTCCCAGGGCATGTTTCTGTGCCTTCTCATAGGTGGGTACAATTTGTTCATTTTGCATAACTGCTTCTGTGGAATGCTCCTTGACCTCTGATGGGTTTCTTTTACCCATACCCAGATGAGCTCACATCAGTTCATTTTTCAAGGGATTATGCAGTCCAGCTGCGTTTGAAGTTGTTTGCTGTATCAGGTTGCTGTACTGATGACTGATGTATGTATTGACATAGTAGATGCCACTCCTCTTGGCATGATCAAGTTTCTTGCCCGTGGCCACATTAAATCTTTGTGTAATTCCACTGTTGAAAATCTCTGGAGTGAATGTATCACGTTGTGTCCAGTTCACAAGAAGGTCTTCCAATTACTTAATTTCTGCTGAAATTACTCATTGTGGCTTTAGTTGTTATTTGTGCTACTACATCTCTCCTAAGATCAGCTGTGCTTCATTACAGTAAGCAGAAATAGATGGAATTTTTTTTTTTCCTGTAGCCTGTGCAGTGACATGGTGGAAAAAAGAGAAAAGAACCAACTATAACAAAACCCCCAAACTATCAATTTTTGTATTCCTGTGATCAAATTGGCTGTGCAAGGGCAAAAAGGCTCAGAGCTGACACGGTGTTAGGAGGAGACCAGATCTGGGTGTTAGCAGTCCAGATGACGAAGTTTTGTGTTACTTATGACAAAGGCTTTTAAACTGAAATACAATTTGCTTCTCTTTTCTTCGAAAGTGAAGATCTAAAAGAAAGCCATAGTAAAGGAGCCAAAGTGGCTCCACTGTAAAAATGAAATCAAATAAACACATGCCAATTACAAAACTTTTATTAAATGCATTTGCATTTTTCTGATTAAATAAGACAGTTCACATTTTGTACTATTACAAAGAATATAAGGTGAAAACTCTCTTGTCCTCAGATATGAATTCACAGAGAAGATTTTTGACACTTCTTTCCTGTAATACACCTCTTCAATGATAATTTTGTAGAGATACTTCCTTTTCATTCTGCTGTGAGCTTGTCTTTTAGTGCCAGAACTTCCATTTCTCATTTCCTTCTTTTATCATTGCACCACAGAATGAATGGTGAGAGACTGACTGCACAAAAAAAAAGGTCTGGAATTTATTATTAATACTAAAAAAAATGTCTTCATGTTTGTGAGTTTAGTAATGCAATGGAATTATCTTGAATATTGTTACATATGCAGCAGCTCAGAATTCCTGGGGTACTGGTTCATTAAGGGAAGGACAAGATGGCTCTTCTTCAGGTGATTGACAAATCCACTTTGACTGGTGCATTCTGCAGTCTTATCTTTTCAGTAAGCCACAGCACATCCTCCTGGGTATAGAAAATAGGAAAACACAATATTGAGCTGTGCCAGTCAGAAATGTGAGGAGGACCTGAGGCCCTTCCATGCCATATCTGCCTTTTCCTTTAAGATAGGCTGTACATCAACAGAATTGTGTATCACTGGCTATACAAATAACAAACCAGAAAAGTGTAAATCTGTAATAATAAAAAAGCACTGTTCTGCTGTGTTTTGCTCCTGGACACTGTATCTGCACAAATATAGTTGGCCTTTTTGGAAACAGGACTATTCTAGAACTTGTCTGTAAAACCACTGTAGATATCTGGTCTGCAGGACCAACTGAACAGTTCTGCTCCTACCTTGCATTATTAAAGCTGCCTTCTACCCATCACTGGTGATACTGGCTCTAGAGCTGCTCCCTGCAGCAGGTGAGTCCCCTTCTCACAGCAGTCTCCTGGTCTACATTTGTCTTGACTTACTTGCTGCCCCAGGCTGTACCCCAGCAGCTTTTCCTCCCTGAGCGTGCCCAGCTGCTGTCAGGATGAAGTGCTCTCCTTTCCCAGGCAAACAGGCAGCTGTTCTTCATCTGGTTACAGGACTTGTTTAACAGAATGCTTGATATGCCTCTCCTGAAGTGAACCCAGAATTCAGATGTTACTGCCCTGGAAGCACTGGTAGCTTTTTGGCATTGAATGTAGTTCATAAGCACGGCCAGCAGATACCCCATTGTTAAGGGGAAAACTCTGATTTTGCATGCACCTGTGTCTAGGCATGGCTGGACTGGGAATAATGGAGCCTTCTTTGCAAAAACATTACGGTGTGAAGGGTGATTTGGGACCTATACAGCTGTCTTCCAAAATATGGCATTACTATAAACTGGCCTGGCAACACCCCTGGACAGAACAGTGGCAAGCAATGACTAACACCTCTGCCTGTAAAGAAATGGACTGGAAATTAGTCAGCCTGAAAGGTTAGAAGCTGCTGCCTTTTCTTATACAAGCTTCCATAAAATAACATTATATCAGAGGATTTATTGGGCAACTTGGATATTTCATTGTATCTTAGGAAATGAGCGAGCAGCTGAGAAGAAAAGCACATCTGAACAAACAGAGGATTGCACAGTTGGATCCTTTGTGACAAGAATCCAAACTGTAGCTTTAAGTTACATGCCTCCTCTGTGAAGTTCAGTTTTGATGCTGGTAGGAAGGGACTGATCAAAAGTAGAACTGGTATAGGGGATATGATTTCCATCAACAGCAAGGAAATAAATAAAGTCACAAGATATTATGACTGACCCCACTGATGTCATCAATCCTAAGTGACTTTCTGCCTCAGATGCTATAATAACATTCTCATTACCTTGTTTACTGAAACAAATGGAATAGCTGATGAAGATACAGTTTTCCTTTCTAATTCAGCATTTAAAATTTCAGGTTTAAAATGCTTCGAAGCCAACGTTGCCAGGACACAAGAAGTGTCCTGGCAATGTAGAAAACATGCTGGCAATGGCAAAGTGCTGAACTGTTAAAACTGTCACAGGTATGGGGCTTTTTTCAGAGTAAAGTGTCTTCACATGAAGGGTAATTTCCTGCTTTTCAAATTCCTAGTCAGGACTGTCTCATTTACCAGAGGGTGTGCCTACTAGCTCTTTTCTGGAAATGATAGTTGTATGCAGCTACATTGAAAACTGATCCTGAAAACAGTGTGGTCCACAGGCATTTCATGTTCCCCATTGTCTGGCTGCCAGTGCCCCTGAAGAATTTCAGTGAACATTATAAGTGTAGCATCTTTTGCTGACTGTGGAACCAGGGTAGAAAAATATATTGGTGGGTTTTTATTGTTTTTGTTTTTGTTTTGGTTTTTTTTGTTTGTTTGTTTTGGGTTTTTTGGTTTTTTTGTTTTTTTTTTTTGATAAATGTTTGCTAGGCTTGTTCTTAACAGGAGCACTGAAGGTAACTGAAAAATAGGTATGAGGTCTTTGGACTGCAGCACTAAACCTGAAAGTATTTGAAGTTCAAGTTTTCCTGGTGGTTACAATCAGGCCATTCCAGAAACAGCTTTGTGTAGATTCCTATTAAGAGAGAAAGGGAGCAGGTTAAAAAGGTGTGGGAGAAATCAGGGGCTGTCAGGGGAAGAGAGATGTGGCTCATGAATGCTTAGGAGAAGGAATGAAATTCTACTAAGAAGGGAAGTTCTCAAAAGGAGAAGAAGAAACACTGAATGGAATGGACAAGAGAGACTGGAGGGCAGAGGGAGTGATCCAAGAACCCAGAGATTAGAAGGGAGAAGATGAACGAGTCCAGCTGAACAGCCCTAATCAGCAAAAGGGCAAGAATATTCAGAGTATAGATGTGAAAAATTGTTAAACATTGACGGGGATTTATGAACTCTGTCATGTTTCTGTGTTCCACATAAGACCCAAGTTCACAAAACAAGGCCACCATTGTCCTGCATCTCATGTTCCTATATATTGGTGTAAAGATAGTGTCTCCTTCCTCCACACTGTCTCATCTATACAGCTTTTTATAGCTGAGGCATCTTTTGACAGCTGGTGTGAAGGCACCATGCTGAGGTCATGGTGTTCACAAGGATAATTAGGCATTTGGAAAAAAAAGTAGAAATTATATAGAGAGGGATAGTGTATGGTCAGATGAACCCATGTATGTATATGGTATAGATAAACATATTTTTATCTATCCACCAGTTATTTACAATGAGATATTACCATGATCTTTCAATATTTCACACCATAGACTGGATGAAGCAGCACTTCAGAAGAACTGAAAAATATATAGGAGTATAATTAAAGTATCCTAAAGCAACACGACCAATATGGAATACATTACTTGGGTTATGCAGACTCTGACTATAATATGAAGCAGAAAGTGGATTGAAGCTTTCATAGAATCTCAGAATATGCTGAATTGAAAGGGACCCATTACAACCATCGAGTTTAACTCCTGGCCCTGTGCAGGACTCCCCAGGAGTCACACCATGTGCCTGAGAGCGTTGTCCAGGCGCTTCTTGAGCTCTGTCAGGCTGGAGCTGTGACCACTGCCCTGGGGAGCCTGTTCCAGTGCTGAGCCACCCATGGGGTGAAGAACCCTTTCCTGATACCAGTGTAAACCTCCCCTGACACAGCTTCAGGCCATTGCCTTGGGTTCTGTCACTGGTCAAGAGAGTGAAGAGATCAGTGTCTGCTCCTCTGCTTTCCCTCACAAGGATGTTGAAGGCTGCAGTGCTGTCTCCCCTCAGTCTCCTCCTCTAGGCTGAACCTATGACTCTGTTTATTCTCAAAAATCTTTATTATTCTCATTAAGTGAAAAGATAAAGACTCAAGAATCTCTCATAACAAACCAAATTAAGCCATGTCACTGGAGACTGCTGATAGCTGTTTTTTTAAAATTTATATGTTTAAAATTCTACATCACTTAATCTCTGCAAGCCTTTTCCTCATTGTACATCTGCAGGTTTTGGATTACTTAACTTTTTATTGTGTGCAAATCATGCAAAATTATCTCAGAAAAATATGCTGAAGACCCAGCCAGGGCAATACTTTATAAGGCATTTCATAGCAGTGCCAAAATGTGTCACAGAACACAGCTGTGAGCACAGAGTGCTTTCCACTCATCATCACAGTATGTGAGTCAAATCTGCAATGTCATGGGAGAGGAGCTACTTCTTAGTATGTGAAATTAAAAGGGATTTGAGAGAAAATGTCCTCTAAAAAAGGAGTTCTTTGTCACTATGAAGATCATTTTACAAGTTTCATTTGTAGCAAAACTAAAAGCCATACAGAAAATTCAAATTGATATTTAAACATTAGCAAAATATATTCCAATATTTTGTTATGCTACCTGTCTAGGAAAATATCTTTTCTTACTTAAAAAAAAAGGAATAAAGAGATATCTGAATTTTTCTAAAGCCGAGGGTTTCATTCAAACAAATTGAAACCATATAATGTATAGTTCCATAATAATAAATTTTGGTTTAGTCGACCAGAATTGAAATGTTACTGACTTGGATTGTCTGCTTTTAATTGCAGACAAGCCATTGGTTAAACTTTTTTGTCTACAAATGATCTTTCACCTTCCCCCTCCTTCAGTGCATTATATGTATGGCAATCAAATAGATTAAGCTTTTAAAAAGGCACAAATAACCTATACCCTTAAGGTGCCTGTTAACTGAGGTGGTTGATTCAGCCATTAGTGCGGGGTCAGCTGCACAATTCAGACCTCATTAGTACATCCCCAAAACATGTGAAGAATTTGGGACTGAATTTAACTTTCAGTTCCTTTCAAATTCACAATTTTCAGAAAAATGAGGAAGGAGTCATGCATTACACAGTGAAAAGAACACTTTGGAATTGGAAACCTCTGAAGTTAACATCAGTCTTTTTCCAATTATTTCTTCAATGAGCTTTAGATGTGATCATTTCATAGTCTTTTGACTACAAAATTTTTCATGGTTTTCTGGTGAAACCACAGTATAACAGAAATGTGATACCATTGGCAACACACTGAGAATAATGCAGTAAGCACAGGGTTAGGTGAGGCTCCTTTCTGCTGTTTTAAGAACCATTCCCAGCAGAAACCATGGGAATCTGATATGGAAACCAGGCTGCTTTCTGGAGAACGATAATTATTAACAGATTTTTGCAATAAAGAATACATGTTGTGAGTTCCAAAAGAAGACAGACTTGGCAAAGGGCTGAATATTTGACTAGAAATTGTTACCATTTCCTTCCTACCATTGCCTCCCACACCCACCACTAAAAGCTAAATTTCTTTGTGAGACCTCAGGGCAGCAAATCCAATATTTTTTTGCTGGGGGAACTACTCGATATATTTGCATTTTTTTAAGTTTTAACCATTTTTTTTTTTATTTAAACTAGCCATGTGTTCAAGTTGGTGCTAATTCCTTGAGGAAGATCTCCCTCTGAAAGTGGCTGATAAATTTTGATGGTTAAAAAAAAAAAGAAGTAGTAATTAGACTATTTATAGCTCTAGTGACTAAGCATATAGACTGC